ATATATATATATATATATATTTTTTTTTTTGAAAGAGCTGATTGCGATTGACTCAGACAGATTGTAAGAGACGTTCCAGAGTTCTGTCGCCACTTTGTGAGCCACAATCTTTATCGTTTATTTCAGAAGAAGGTCCCTTATCCATCAAGTGCTGCAAAGTAGAAAATGAATGCCATCATCAAAAAAAAAACAAAAAACAAGTCTCTCAATAACGTGTTTTTATTTGATGTCTTTTAGATCCGACCGTGTTGTTGTCTTCTTCTGCTGTAAATGGTGTGCTGGGTCTTCCCCTTCAGGTCGACATTGGTTTCTCTGAGGGAGACAAGGAGCTGGAAAGGGAGAGAGCGGAGAGGGAAGGCAGGAGAGCTCTGGGCATATACAGCGTCACCTTCACCCTCATAACAGGTAGCGTCATCTATTTCGAGTTGAGCAGACCGACAGTACGCATGAGATACTTGATCCCTGAAAGCATCTTTCGACACACTTCTCACATGAACGGCTGATGTAAAGCATTAAAAATAAATAAATAAATGAAAGGGGTCGGGGGGGAACTTGACAGCGGCAATGGTTGGCAATGTATAAGCAGACAGCATCATCTTTCAGAGGCATCCCGTGGGTTGGGGTGAATTTCATTTTTGATCACGGCCTTGGGCGATCAGGAAAGTCACCAGGAGCAGGGCGGGGCGTGAAAACAAAGTCCCCAGGTATGGAAACCATGAAAGGAGTGATTTCCACTCCCGCTGACTTTCAAGATATTGATGTCACTGAAGAAAAATGGAGCGGGATTGACTTGGAACAGAAAAGGGGGAGATGCGAGGAGGGGTGGAGGTGGTGTCTGTTTGTTGTGATCGTGTGCTTCTGCAAAATGTTGCCTCGGGATTACAAGTGAATGGGTGGTCAATCGCTCTCTTGGTGTCGGAGAGAGCTGGAGTCCAAATCCGCTCCCGTGTGTGTCTCTCTCTTTCTCGTCTGCACCCCCGCTGAAACGATTTCCCTTTTCAGGTCCGAGTCGCAGATTCAAGAGGGTGGTGGAGACCATTCAAGCTCAGCTCCTGAGTACTCACGATCAGCCTTCTGTGCAGGCACTGGCTGGTGTGTAGCGCCCCAAAACTCAGCAGCTGTATGTAAGACTGGCCATTTTCTCGCTCCCATCTCTTTTCTTTGAAATCTGACCTTGCGCCCATCAGATGAGAAGAACGGCAAACCCTCGCGGCAGCCCGGCACGCCTTCGCGTCAGAATTCCAAGCGTTCTGAAAGCGGATCCGAGAGGTGCGAGAAGGAGCGCGCGCTGGATGCGGCGAGCGGAAGCGGCGGCATCCTCCAAAGGCAAGGCTCGGGGAAAGAAAAGACCAGACTTCTCTCCGCAACCAATGGGACACAGTCACACCCCTGAGAAGAATGCTATCCCCAAGAGGACGGATGTCTCCTCTGTCCTTGATTCCACCCGCATCCTTTCAATCCACTTTTCCTTCTTTCTGCCTCGCTGCTCGCCCGTCGGTCCCGAGCGACGGACTGGAAAGGGAACAGATTTTGCTCCATCCTGTGCGGAAGAGCTGATCTTTTCCCAGTCCGCGAGGAGAGGTCGGAAGGAAGATTCCCACCCCCACCCCGCCCCCCTAAAAAAAAAAATCCCACTTTAGCAGAAAATCTCACAAGAAAAACACCTTCACTCGCTAATGAAGAAAGCACACGACCTGCTCACTAATATATTGGATGCTTCACATCGTTCACACTTTGCTGCAAACCTCCGATCGACGTCCAAGGACGAAGCACTTCGAGACGTTGCCATTCATCAGCTCCAGTTTTCATCGATGCTCCTTCAACATGACCTTACAGCTCACGTTAAGAGTCACATGATCAAATGGAATGTCGATTTAAAATGTGCAAAAACAAAACAACAACAAAAAAAAAAAAATGCAGGTTGTTTCTTGAGAAATGAGGCAGAAATGGAAGCGTCTGAATTCAATGAGGTTTATTGATCAGCAAAGGGATGCTGTGTTTTAGCAAAAGCAAAGTGAAATAATAGTTGTGCGCGCGCACACACACACACACACACACACACACACACACACACACAAAGACATCACAAAAGAAGAATCTGACGGGGTTGGGTGTAATGTAACCGTCTAGATACGTATGTATACCGGAGTATAAAAATAAGGCCCACTGATGCATTTTGTCCTCCAATGTATGAGAGTCATTAGGTCTCACTGTTATTTCTGAATTAAAATGATCAACGCTATGATACCGTATTGCCTTTAACGGAGGAGAAATAGTGGATCACCATTTAGACCCCCCCCACCACCCCATTTTCCACTCATGATGCACACCCACATGTCTCTCTCTGAAGAAAAAAAAAACTGTTAGATGTTCGACAAAACACATATTGGCTCACAATAGGCCATTGGCCGAGACTAGCAGAAAGAGTCTTCAACCAACTTGACAATAGATGACAAAAGTCGCTCGATTTAGTTTTATTCTTTGTTCATCAAATACAAGATTGCCTAGTTAGAGGTGACATCATTTCACTTACTTTTCACTGCCCTTTATGTATTTTTGTCATTTCGGCAGTGGACTAAATCCACAGTCCTTGTTCCATTCGGAGACGGGGTCCGAGCAAGTCTATCATTTCCATTAACTTTCTGCTTCCAAATTGTCATTCTGCCGGGCCTGTGTTCAAGTATCAAGTCAAGTATCAAGTACAACTTTATTGTCAAATGTGCTGTATGTGGAACATACATGTTCAAGGACACACCCTTGCAATAAAAGCCCAGCAAGAGCTGTTCGTCAAATTAGCAAACAGGCACAGCGAACCTTTCGCCTGCACCAAAATCAGGTTAGACCAGCATTTCCGCATACGTCGTCTTCGAAAATTGAGCCCAAGGTGTTGGATTCTATCGTGCTCCAACAGTGACTGCAGCATTATTTTGACTCCTCTGCATTTTATTTTAGGACACTCCCTGATGGCATGTTACGATATTTCTTTATGTTGCTCATGGTTACATTATTTACTGCAATATTACACCCCCCCACTGACTCCCCCCCCCAAAAAAAATAAGGAGAATTAGACTTCAGATGAATTTGGGCAGTTATTGCTTACAATCAGGATTGAAAAGTATTAGTAGACCAGAAGTACTTGTTATAAAGAAAAAAAAAAGAAACCTTCACCTTTATCATCCAACATTCATCTGCAGAATCATGAGAAAAAAAATCAAAAAGTCATCCAAAAACACCCATTTCTTTCTTTTTTTTTTGAATCATACAATTCTGGACAGCAGAAGACAAACAATGTATTGCTCGCAAAGGGCAAAAGACAGAATGTGCAAATGTGAAACACATTGATTGTGACCTCTGTCGTTGTACAAACGCTGCACAGAAATTGCCTGGAGGGGGAAAGGCAATCGAAAATTCAAGCCGCCTAATGATTGTTTTCTTTTTTTGGGATGTTGACTGTTTTGTTTTCCGTGTATTCATGCCACCAGCAAAGTAGGCACTGTCGATATGAATGTTTATCATTTAAATATTTATTTTTCAACGATGTATTTATCATTTATCGTTTACTCACCACAAAAGCTTTTAATCTTGTGAAATTAATGCTGCAAAAAACACCCTCCTGGGTCGTTATCATGACGTGTTTATATTGAACCCACATTCTGCCCATTTCTTCTGATGTTGTTACTCCAAACGACTTACACCTCCAAAGATAAAATTCCCATTCCAACACAGCAAAAGAGAAGCTCAGACTTGTAGTTTGTTTTTGTGTCTGTCACTGTCTTGGACACGCTTGTTAAAAGGGAACACGAGCTAGTGTATGTTTCTGGAATGGAAGAATATGAGCGCCATCATGCATGGAACGCTGTTCAAATCACAGGCACTCCATTTCAAAAATTAAACACAATTTGTGGCTCCAGTAGCAAAGTATGGCAGCGGTTTTTTGGTCACCCCCCCCTCTCAAAAAATATCAATTGACGTCATGCTTGAAATGGTTTCAATCCAATGATGGATAAAATGAGTCCATGCCATCACTGCATGTTGATGTTGAGCTGAAAGCGGCACTCTGGCGACTGTTGTGAGAACAGCCTCACCTCGCTGCTGGCAATGCTGTGTGGCTCGCTGTGCCACAATGTGTCCACACACACAAAGTCTGGCGACTGTTGTGAGAACAGCCTCACCTCGCTGTGCCACAATGTGACCACACACACCAAAAAAAGACCATTCTTATGTTTCTTGACTTGAAACAATGTTTCACTGACCTGCAAATGAGCTTGTGTTTAATTGTTGTCGTGCACCGAAAAGTCTTTTTGTCTACTTTCTCTCTCTGCGGTTTTGGTAGGTCTTGCAAATGAGAACGCAAACATAGTCAACTTAAGTGTTATCGTTTTCCGACAAGAAGGGGGAAACAGATGTACTTTTTGGGTTTTTCCAAAACCCAAAATGTTCCAGTGATATAAAAGATACAGTGTTGAAGTTTACTTCAACATTCTATCACTTTCTCTTTTTCTCATCTGAGGTTCTCCTTTATTTTCATCCTCCTTAACAGAGAGATAGGCCTTGAAAAGTGCGGCCCACCCTGTTCAAACGTCAAGAGTGTCACAAGTGTTTGGAGGTAAAAAAGATCATTGAGAGATAGCACTTCAACACATAGGGTTCAAGTTGCTTGTTTTTTTTTTTCTCTGCGAGGAAAGTTTTTGGATAAAGCGATGAAACCAGAAAAGCCACAAAGGGCCGCTGCACTTCAAGCTGCCTTGAACAAACTTAGAATGCACTGCTACGATTGAAAACAACAATCCATCCTCACCGGTCTTTACATGTATAGCGGTATATATGTCGCAGCCACCCCGCCCCACTCCCTGTCATTTAATCACCAACCCCCCTTGTCTTTGTATACATTTGACACTCATTACTTCAACGCACATGCACCCTATATGCCTTTTGTCTGTCTCCATTGTATGCCATCTGTTCCCATGTAGCGTTCGTTGTCTTTTATCGACACTGTAATCGCCATAAAACGCTTTCCCTCATTTTCCTGGTGTGTCATTTTTCCACTTTCACCTGCATCTGGACCACTCCAATCAATCAAGCGCACCAAACGGAACTCCACCTCTCACCCTCCACTCAAACTACTCAAGCGAAAACAAACGATAAATTATTTTAAAAATGATTGTAATGAGGGGAAACATGCCTGTGAGAAATGTTAAACAATAAACAGCAATGGAATTATGTGTGGCTAATTGATGCTTTTCTGATACTGAAATTGATCCCCAGTCCTCCCCAAAAGCAAAACTAAATCTTTTTCTACGACAACAGGTTTTTGAGGTCCTTTTAATTTTTGTTTTTACCATGCGGTGTCATTTATAACTCGTATTATTTGCCTTGTTTTTCCACTTTAATTCCTTGTCAGTGTAACATCCGTCAAAGTGTAGCCCAGAGGTGGACAACACTGGTTCTCGAAGGCCGCTACGCTGCATGTTTTAGATGTTTCCCTCCTCCAACGTACTGTACCTGATTCAGGTGATAAGATCACCAGCAAGCTCGACAGAAGCCCGATAACAATCCCGGGCATTTCAAGCATGTGTGTTGGAGGAGGGAAGCATTTAAAAACATGCAGGATTGCGGGGCCCCGAGGACCGGAGTTGCCCACCCCTGATGTAGCGTACCTAGTTATTTGACATACAGTATTTTATCTCCTCTTCTTTTCCCGTAATGTGTCTTTTTTTATTTATATCAAAGCGCCATTTTTCGCAATTCGTCCTAAATATTGTCGTGAATAATGCACTATCCATAGCCATTCAGTGCCGACGCTCACCGGAAACAATGTGACCGATGTGGCCAATAGCGAAGAGGAGGAGGAGGTGGTCTTCTTCAACACTGACGATCTTTGACGCCCGGCGGTGAAAGACACAAGGCTAGCAAGCTAGGCTAATTCTCGCCGAGAGCAAGAGCGCTCACTTTCACTGCCGGTGTCGCGTCGCCAAGAGAAGAGAAGAGAAGGGAGCACAGACAGAAGCTTCTCTGACACTCATACTGCCGAGCAAGCGCCTTCCAACAATTTCCAGGTACATTTATACCATATTCATATTCTATTTCCTCGTGGTACTTGTGCAGTTGGGCTTGACTTCGAGCATTCGTGCGCCCATTACGCGTTGTGTTTCGCGCGGGTGGAGATGGTGCTGAACGTGAATGGGGCTCTTGTTGTGTGCCGCCTGCTCCACGATTTCTCCTAAATGAACTGGGAGGGAACGCCACACGTTGGCGGGTGCAAAGGCTCCTTCTTGATGTGGCGTTTGTTTATGATTTCTGTTCACCACCGCCGGACGCGGGTGGTGGAGGGATGGAGAGGGGAATGAGGATGCCCTGTGGTGCAATAAAACCGGTTTTCGAGAGGAGAGCCACATGAAAACAAGTTTCGCCGAGGGTTGTCGTGCTTGAGTCGTTTCGCAACACCACAACGAAGGCGTGAGCGTTAATTGGAATTATGATTCGTAATTCTTGATGTGGCACGCGCAGGACGAGACGGACGGTTCCCTGATCGTTGCTGTGACGTCACCGCGTCGTTTTTGCCGCCCACCCATTTCGGTCTTTAAAAAATAAGAATGGGGACAATCGGTTCTTAGAGCAGATGGCGGGGTTTTCACACATGCTTGACATTCTTGAAAATATTTGTTTAGCTTTTTCCCTCCTTCCCTGTGCATACCTGTTCATTTTTCACGCCCACAAAGATGATCATCTTCAAGATCAGTTTCAATACCTGATTCTTCCAAATAATAGCCCATACCAAATTAGGAAATACAGATCCTTTCAAAACTGTTTTAATGGCTTCTTTGATATTAATTCATGGATGATTAATCATTGAAGAATGTTGCAGATCAGTTATTATTTTTGGGGGGCAGGTCTTGCACCTGTCTCAAGGCACGCTCTGACCTCCGCATGGCATCGGTTCCTTATCCTAGACAGCAAGCACTTATTGAAACTATTCGGAGCCAATGTTATTTTTCCAAATGGTGATTCGAAATCACAAATGTCGCACCGTTTAAAAAAAATGTTTGAAACATTTACACGGTGAGCAGAGACCGAACATGGTATTTTGATTATCAAGAATATTGAAACATTGTCGATACGTTCAACATTTTTGAAATTCCGAACATAGAACAACAGAATTTCAATCGTATTTCAATTGTCTAGAGTGTTAAAACAAAGTTAGTAAAAGGGCCGCGCTCCAGTTACCATCAAGTCATTGAACCATTGAGGAGCTGATGTTGATTCTTCACCATGTTGAGCAGTGTTTGTTTCCATTGAGAATATTGGTGCCATCCCACATCATCTTGCTACTGCTTCGGACGTATAACCTAAGCCTTAGGTTATTGAACCGCTTTGTTTTATGCTTAGGCAACAGCACAGTTCTTGGGCTAATTGCACCCAAGTACTGCAATATATAATTCATGACCACAGAAAAACACTGATGGATAATGCATCATAACATTTGGGCCCAGACATGGCGCTATGATACATGCTGTGTTTTAAAAGACCAGCTGTATCTAGAGCTTGACAGCGATCCGGCTGTCTGTGAAGGCCGAAATTGGCTGAAAAATCATGGCAGAGTTGGAGGCCGACAGAATGGAAGATGCTCGTCAACGACTTCGGGACGCGGCGCATCCTGAAGCGGAGGAGGCGCTTTTCATTAGCTGGCCGAATGTTTTCAGAGTTGAAGTAGGAACGCTCGCTGTTTGTTTCATGTCTAATAGCATCCTGAAGCGGAGGAGGCGCTTTTCATTAGCTGACCGAATGTTTTCTGAGCTGAAGTAGGAACGCTAGCTGTTTGTTTCATGTCTATAAACATCATTGCGAGGTTAATTTTAAATGTAAGAATGTTTTTGTCACCTTATCCCAAAATGCAAAAGCACGTTGGATGAATGCGTGTTTTGTGGTGTGTGCCCAACAGCCATGGCAGAGGCTCACCAGGCCGTGGCATTCCAGTTCACCATCACACCGGAGGGCATCGATCTGCAGCTCTCGTACCAGGCGCTCAACCAAATCTACCTGTCGGGAGTACGATCGTGGAAAAAGCGCGTCAGCCGCATCAGAGTGAGTAACAGAAAGCTTGTCCATCAATGTTGTGGTTGTCAAACTAAAATGCAGGAGAGCCTGACGGGCCAATGTTTTGATCGTCACGAATATTCTTTTGCCACGCGTGTGCTAACGGTGACAAATGTTTCCATTTAGTTGAGCGGGTATGTGGTTAAGCATTTGAGATCCGGTTTACCGAACAGACTCAGGCTTGCTGGCACACGTGATGTCTTGACTCCTAATATTTGAAGAGTTGCATATCGCGTGGAAAAAAAAAATACTAGAGACCCAGAGAGAATACTCTCATGGTGTTTCGATTCTTTCTAATATTTAGTTGGATAAATTATTTTAAAAATGATTGTAATGAGGGGAAACATGCCTGTGAGAAATGTTAAACAATAAACAGCAATGGAATTATGTGTGGCTAATTGATGCTTTTCTGATACTGAAATTGATCCCCAGTCCTCCCCAAAAGCAAAACTAAATCTTTTTCTACGACAACAGGTTTTTGAGGTCCTTTTAATTTTTGTTTTTACCATGCGGTGTCATTTATAACTCGTATTATTTGCCTTGTTTTTCCACTTTAATTCCTTGTCAGTGTAACATCCGTCAAAGTGTAGCCCAGAGGTGGACAACACTGGTTCTCGAAGGCCGCTACGCTGCATGTTTTAGATGTTTCCCTCCTCCAACGTACTGTACCTGATTCAGGTGATAAGATCACCAGCAAGCTCGACAGAAGCCCGATAACAATCCCGGGCATTTCAAGCATGTGTGTTGGAGGAGGGAAGCATTTAAAAACATGCAGGATTGCGGGGCCCCGAGGACCGGAGTTGCCCACCCCTGATGTAGCGTACCTAGTTATTTGACATACAGTATTTTATCTCCTCTTCTTTTCCCGTAATGTGTCTTTTTTTATTTATATCAAAGCGCCATTTTTCGCAATTCGTCCTAAATATTGTCGTGAATAATGCACTATCCATAGCCATTCAGTGCCGACGCTCACCGGAAACAATGTGACCGATGTGGCCAATAGCGAAGAGGAGGAGGAGGTGGTCTTCTTCAACACTGACGATCTTTGACGCCCGGCGGTGAAAGACACAAGGCTAGCAAGCTAGGCTAATTCTCGCCGAGAGCAAGAGCGCTCACTTTCACTGCCGGTGTCGCGTCGCCAAGAGAAGAGAAGAGAAGGGAGCACAGACAGAAGCTTCTCTGACACTCATACTGCC